TGGACCAACTTGAAAACTGGGCCCATAATCAAAAATCTAAATACATGTTTAGATTCAGCATATCAAAGAACCCTAAAAATTCAATTTTTGTTAAAAAGTTAAAAAGTTAAAAAGTTAAATTTTGGACCCTTTGGACCTCAATGTGGACCAATTTAAAAACGGGGCCCAAAATCCAAAACCTTAATACACGGTTAGATTCAGCATATTAAAGAACCCCAAGAATTCAAGAATAAAACCCCATTGAAATTGATTAAGAAATAAGCAATTTATACGAAGTATCTTCTTTTGCACAATACTGTGCAATTGAATATTTCTTGCTATTGCGCAATACTGTACAATTGACAATTTCTTCCTATTGCGCAATATTGTGCTATTGGATATTTCTTGCTATTGCGCAATACTGTGCAATTGAAGATTTCTTGCTATTGCGCAATACTGTGCAATTGAAGATTTCTTGCTATTGTGCAATACTGTGCAATTGAAAATTTCTTGCTATTGCACAATACTTATTATATAATAATTTACACATCCTGTTTGGTGTGTATCTCCTACCATATCATTATTATTTGCTTTTAAATATAAATCAGAAATAACCAACTTAAAATGGAAAATTTAAAAGAAAAAAAAAAAAAAAAAAAAAAATCCCCCCCCCCCAAATTTTTTGAACCCCCTTATGATTCCTCACCCCCAAACTCAATCCCAGGCTTCCCTTTGTGGTATCGTACCTTGCAGTACAATTTCAGAGAGATCCATACACTTGAACACAAGTTATTGTCTGGAAACTAGAAAAATGCTTGTTTTTGGCCCCCAATTCCTAAACGTTTCAGGCAATTACCCCCAAACTCAATTCCAGCTTTCCCTTTGTGATATGGAACCTTGTAGTACAATTTCAGAAATATCCAAACACTTACACACAAGTTATTGTCATGAAACTAGAAAAATGCTTGTTTTTTGCCCCTTTTTTGGCCCCTAATTCCTAAAATTTTGAGGCAATTACCCCCAAAATCAATTACAGCCTTCCCTTTGTGATATGGAACCTTGTGGTACAATGTCAGAGAGATCCATACACTTACACACAAGTTATTGTCTGGAAGTTACAAAAATGCTTATTTTTGGCCCCTAATTCCTTAACTGTTGGTACCATAACCCCCAAAATCAATCCCAACCTTCCTTTCGTGGTATTGAACCTTATGGTAAAATTTCAAGGAGATCCATTCACTTAAACTAAAGTTAGAGTGCGAAAACCAATGTGTCTTCGGACAACGCCGGACGACGCCAGACGACGACGACGACGACGACGCCAACGTCATACCAATATACGACCAAAAAATTTTCAATTTTTGCGGTCGTATAAAAACCCATAGGGAATAGTCAGCTATAAAAATTTTGAAATGACAAATGTAAAACAATCCAAAAAAAAAGCTAATGGTCTGATTTATGTACAAAATAATGAAAGAAAAACAAATATGAAATATTTCAACAAACAATGACCCTTTTATTACAGATTCCTGACTTGGGACATGCACATACACAATGTGGTGGGGTTAAACTAGTTTGTAAGTACATTTGTATGACAGCCTCAAGTGCAGGGTGATGAGGTAATAATTCATTGCTATTAAAGTCAAAACTCAAGGTTGGTTTTCTAGCTTCTGTGTCCAGTATTTGGCAGGTAGAAGTTAACAATTCTGCTGATGTAATTTGATGACTTGCAATCTAAAACACTCATGTTTAGTAAACCGTAAAAATCTATAAAGATATTAGTATTATACAGATCATTTCACAAATGAACATGTATGCATGTACTAACTTTCTCTAAATACAATTTTATTACAGTGCTGATGGAGCTTGTCGTCATGTTGCAGCATGCTTATACGAGTTGGAGGCATTTGAGAAGAAGTCTGTTACTGACGGTCCTTGCCAGTGGAAGAAACGAAAGAGGGAACACGATGAGCCAGTAGAGGTGGAACGAATGAAGATTATCAAGCCAAGGTTTTAACTTAATCATTTTTATCTTTAGCACTGGTAAAATGCAAAAATTAATAAAAATATTCTAGATTTCCCTCATATATTACAGTATTTAGTATATATAGAATAATACATGGCAAAATCCGTATCGCATGCTGTATCACCACCAGAAACCAATATCAGTCCTGATGGCCGAAGGTCCTGAGGGCTGATATTGGTCAAGTGGTGATACAGCATGCGATACAGATTTTGTCATGTATTATTCTGTTTATCATATATTTAAATAGAATCAGATTAATGTCATATACGTTTTTTTTTTTAAATCGTCCGAAAATATAACAAACAAAAGAACATAAGGATTTTCCTGTATTTTTCCAGGTGACTAAGTTTTTGACTTCCTTATTTGCTTAATATCCACATCGTAATGTCCCCTACAACCTTACTACATGCTCAATATAGAGCTATGAAACTGGCAATAATATACTTTAAGACCATGTATTTAAAAGCATTCACTAACAACAGTGTCAACTGTTCCCTCCTGTAGAATACAACCCACCTTCCCAATATTTGTTGTGAATTTAATCATTATACTACAATCTGAACTCATTTGTATACATAAATATGGACAACAATGTTGCCACGTATCATCTACTCAAAGATTATTAACAGACAAACAGGGGATTCCAATATACACAGTCATTGGACAAAAGTGAGTTCCCACTAAAAAAACTTATTGTATCTATTTTATAAAAATCGCTTATAAAGTTCTACTGGGTAATAATTTTTTTGAAAAATATAGATTTTAGTTGAAATGATATGACATTTCTTGAGTGGGAACTCACTTTTTTCCTATGCCAGGAAATACAGCAACTGGACGTCATAGGTCAAACGTTGACGTCATTTGATTCATGATGTCACGCCAGGTATGTGATACGGATTTAGCTATGCGATACAGACTGGAAAAAAGAACCTTTATTAGATATACAAAATTGCTGTATTTTGTACTAAATATATGATAAATACATGTATATCATACATATATATGTTATTCACAGATCGACATCTGGCCTCGAATCTAAAAAAACAACATTTCAATGCATATTTTTTTTATATATTTATTAGAAATAAGTTATTTTAATAAGAACTTTGTTTTCATTTTTCTTGTTGCTAAATAGTCTTCTTGTCGCTAAAATATTCTTCTTGTCGCTTCTTGAAGTTTCTTGTCACTACTGAAAACCTTGAAATCCTAAATACATACAATGCCAACATTTAATGCTTTACCAATAAATACATTTAAATATTGTAATATCCCAAAATAGGAGGATGGAAGCATGTGTATCATCAGCAGACCATGTAGTATCCAGTTTTGATCCTAGACAGATGGTTGACAGAGCTGCAGAAGACGAGAAGATAAAACAGTTTGCAAGTAAATTAGCTCAGGTATAACAACAAATAATTTAACAACACGCCCACCGGTTTTATTGGTAGATACACTATACATTCAAGTACAGCGCCCTCTAGCGACTCCTCTTGAGGTTTGAAATCATATTGTACAGATATCTTTATTATATTTAATTTTTAAACCTCAAAATGAAGTCTTGAGCAGAACTCGTGTCCATTACAAATAGGTATCATGGTGCTTACACATGGTGCATAGTTATAACATACACCAACTATTCTTGAAAAGTTAAAGGACTGACAAAATTGGACAGTAACATTTACAAATTCAAAAATATTAACAGCAAAAAATTAATCAAAATAATTATTTCTGTGCAAGACATTTTTGAAACAATATAACACACTTTAATACTTAAATACTACTCATATTATAATTAATTTTTATTAACAGTGTATTTAATACTGCATTAGTGTTCTTAAATATTCAATGCAATATCAGTATTTTTTTAAATTTTTGCACTGCAGTACATATATATATATATACACCATGTGTAACCTTTTTAATTTACGACTTTAAACAGCATTAATTCTTATTTCTAAAAAAATTAGTATAGAAAAGGTAACAATTTAGTTTGTGAAATTTATGCTTTGAATTTTTTTCAAGTTTATCATTGATAGGATTTTGCAATCAATTCACCAATTTCAAAACTAATTTAAAAGGTTTTTAAGACAGTTTATAAAAAAATGAAGTTCTGCTCCTGGCTTTAACAAAACACCACAAAGCCAGTAAAGGTAAAAGTTAAAATTATAAACAAAAAACAAAAAATATCAACAAATCCATTTTTTATTACTTACCAACTCTGAAAAAAATAGCATTAGTAAGAACACACCCTTAAACATTGTGTAAATTTTTCATATTTAATTATCTTTTTCAAATTTTTCACAACTTACTTTTAAGAAAATTCATCATATATAGAAATCATTAAAATGCCAAATTCACATAAAAATTATACATTATATCTTGTACCATTGTCCAGCAGATTCTCAGTTAATATTTTTCTTCAAATTCTTAAATCAACGATGTTATTTTTTTCCTGTAAAATATATATATAATTAATGCTTTGGTTAATTCAAGTGATTTTTTAAATAGATAAATCCTGAGGCCAGAGCACTAGAATTTCTACCCCATGAACCAGTAGATGTGGTACAGATGGACTATTCAGAGGCAATACAGGACTTGACAATTCCTACCAAGGCTAAGTATTTTAAAGATAAGTATGTATGTTTAATTGATAATGAAGAGGACATAGTTGAAAAATTTATGGCTACCTTATCATTCAGTTCAGAAGATGTGATGCTTATATCAAAGGCAACTCAGGGCCAGAGTAGCAACAATTTATGGTTCACTATGAGGAAAGGTTTAATTACTGCTTCTAACTTTCAGGCTATAATGAATAATGAGGACCCAGATCTTATTTGCAGCCGAATTATAGGTAGTGAATCACTTTCTGTAAAGAATAAATTCCAAGAAATGGCCTTAGACTGGGGTAGACGCAAGGAATCAAAAGCCAGGAACCTATACCAAACAGCTCATGGATTGAAAAGGAATAAATGTATAACTGAAACTGGTTTGGTAGTAAATCCGAAGTATCCATGTATAGGTTGCAGTCCAGATGGAGTGATCACTTGTAAATGCCATGAGAGTAAGATTATTGAAATTAAGTGTCCGTTTTCACTAAGAAACAAATCTGCTAAATCTGTATTACACATGAAAACTAATTCTGATGGTCAAATTGATTTTTCTTCACAGTATTATTGTCAAGTGCAAGGACAAATGGGAATTATGGAGATGAGAAAGTGTGATTTGGTATTCTACACCAAACATGGAATAGAACATGTAGAAGTCAGCTTTGATGAAGATTTTTTTAACAGAATGCTGGTGAAACTGCAAAACTTCTTTACAGATTATATTGCACCATTTCTTCTAGAAATAGTGAGTAAAGACAACTAATAAAAATAAGTCTTCTAAAAATTGGTCAATGGGTACTTTAAATATTTTCTTATATATTTGAATCTATAAGTCATTACTAAATATTAGTTTGATATCTATTAAATTTTTTTCATTCCAAAATACTATACAACTCAAAATAATGGTTATTGGTACTTAAACAATTAATTTCAAGCAAAAGATTAATTTTCTTCTGGGTGGTGTGTTCACTTAGCTAGATGTATGAATTTATGTATTTTAGTATATTTTTAACAATTTTCAATAGATTTCTTCCAAATTTTTGAAAGCACTGACCAGTTTTCAGACTATGTGTGATTTCTACCTTGCCTAATTAAGAGTAATTCCTGCTTTTATAACAGTCTAGTATGTTAAATTTTCAATGGTAATTGTTTCATGCATATTCAGGAAGAACCATGTGCTTGTCCTGGCTTTGTCATCAACATCAAAAATTTCAAACTATATAAAACAAACAAATAGAACTGGAGAAATTTTCACTCACCAAAGGCTTTTTATTATAACCTATTACAACTGATATTCTACAATGATATTTTTAAAACCTTGTAAAAGATTGTAATTTTTAATACACCCATGTCTACTGATGATACTGCATACTGACATGAAGGGCATATGATACAGTTACAGGGGAGGTAATGACTTTGCTAACGTAAAATGTTATTTTTGCGACGTTAAACTGTGACATATCGGGAAAGATGCAGATTCAACTGTTTTTTTTATGATTTAAACTGACTTAAGGTAGCTAGGGTTTCTTCCTCCATCTTGTATTTTGAAATAGCAGATAACAATCGGTCTAGATCTTTAAAGAAATGTGCAAATTTCGAGAGTAGTATGTAATTCATGTGTAAGACTTTTCACGTTAATATAAAATATTATGTGTTTTATCATATTTACGGCTGTATTTTACAAAAAACAGAATATTTTTGTTTGATTCATTTTTTTTTCAACTTTGCCATATAAGGGGAGATAACTCAGATAAAGTAACTTTTATAATAGAATGTGTTGTGAATTTACCTATTTTATTATGTAGCAAGAAAACTAGTCCAGTGACCCCATTTTTTCTTTTTCTCATCTGAAAGCATATTATTAGAGCTATCTTCTCATATTTTATCTTAAAATTCTATGGTGTAGTTTTCTTTTTATCACACAAAATTGGGTTTTCCATGCATAATCTATACAAAATCTGAAAATTTTGCACTACCTGTAGCGTGAAAAAAAGCCCGGTGACCCATACTTTTTATTATATTTTTGGAAAAAGCATGATATGAACTGCCTTTTGACAAATTATCAAAAAATTCTATGGATTTTAATTTAGACCCCCTATCTACCTTAACTTGGAAATGAGTAGAAAGGCCCCTCTTCTTTACAATGGCATATTCATTCGGTTTGATTACGTATGAAGATTATTTGTACCAATTTAAATGAAAAGTCAACATTCATTTTTTTAGATTTGATAAATATACTGCAAAAAAATCCATTTTTTCCCTAAAATCTGAATTAATTATTTCCAAGGAACTGTTGTACTTATTAAGAGCATATTTATTTAAAGATTTTCGTAATGTTTTACAAAAAGCTGCTATTGTTTATCTGGTTTTTGAGAAAATGTCTAAATTTTTACCCCTTTTGTCTCTTAAAGTAGCACATGAAGGTATATTTTTTTCTGACATATTTAAATTGCTTAGGTGAAAAATAGCTTGTATCCAAATTTTCATAAAACATTCATCATGGAATCAAAACTGTATCATATGCCCTTAAAACTAAGTTGTATTAATTTTGTTGTCGGTTTGATGCCTCATTGAGGTTTAACATGTGTCCCTTTTCATTCATGTTTATCTAATTATGTTTGTTGGGTTGATGCTTCATTTATGTTTACCCTGTTACATCCTTTAATTTACTGTCAAGCTTGTTCGGTTGGTGCCTTTTTTAATTAGCTAAGAATGTACCAAATTTACTTTTTGAATTAATCCTAAAATTTTTAAATCCAAGTAGATAAATCATAACTATTCAGATATACACACTTGACCCACTTAAATTAATATTGTTTAACCCTTTTGCCAACGAATGAAGGTTTAATAGTAAATATGAAATTTAACAAAATTAGTACACATACCGACATATATTGAAAATTCAGCACATTTTTAATGATACCTATGCATTGTTCTATAAGACTGGATGTTAACTTTATTGTTTTCATTGGTTGCTTTCGCTCATAATTGTGTAATGTCCGGATCTGATAATTTTTTTCCTAAATCTTGTTTTTGGTAAATCAACAACTATACAGTGCCATACATGTATAGTTGGTTATATTTACTTCATTTGAATTTGTATTAACAACTGACTCATTGACAAATATAACACAGCTCATTAACTTCATATGCAATACTTTGTACTTATTCTAAAATACTGGTTTTTGTAAGTTTTGAGACAGTAAACCTCAAGTTTTGGTATGACTTAGGTGATTTAAGGTAGTTCAGGGGTATACCACCATCTTGAATAGTACAATCACAGTTAATAATCGGTCTTTTTTTTTTTGCCCAAATTTGCAATTTATTGGTTACACTTTTTTTTTTATATTAAGAAAACTTAGTAATGCATTTCATTAGCGAAAATATTTTAACAAATACCAAATGTTTGTGCTTTTAGAACTAATTATTCAAATAAGCCATTTAAGGGGAGATAACTCTTTTAGTACATAATTTATACTGGACATATAGAGAAATTTCATTTTTTTACCCGTCAAAATTTTGACTGGGCGTATTATGGTATACAAATGTGCGGCTGTCTGGGGTAAACATGTCGCACCGTAACTTGAGAACGACTTATCCAAATTTCATGAAACTTAACAAAGTTGTTTCTTATGATGGTCAAACGATCTGTATACTTTTTGGTGAAAATCAGATTAAAACTGTTTATTTACTTGTAGCAAGAAAACAAGGTGACCCATACTTTTTATAATTTTTTTTGAAAAGAGCATAGTAAAATCTTCATTTTGGCAAAGTATAAGAAAATTCTGTCATTTTTTTTCTATACCCCTGAACTACCTTAAAGTGTTTATTTGTACTGATATCACTTTCCACTAGTAATCTTATCAGAAAAAGGTTAGCTGGAGATTAAAGCAGAAATGTTTACCATCTAAGAGCACCTTTCTGATAGTGTTGAGGGTGTATTCTTAATAATGCTATTGTTTTTCAGGATAGGTAAGTATTTAACAAAAATGTTCTTGTTCTTTATTTGTTTAATTTTGTTTTAAACAAAGTGTTGTCTGTCCCCTCTGAACATGCAAATTTATTTGTCCATTGTGTCTTCAACTTGCAGAAATAGTGATAATCTTAACTGTTTTATTTAAGTGAGAGCTGTTTTTGGCCATGAAATACCTAAATTATATTTAAAGATGGTAAAAATGAAGAGTTCTTACTTCACAAGTTTAGACCGCAAGTTACACAAAGCACCACAAACAAAAATAATATCATCAAGGATGGGTTTAAGAGTAAGAGGCAATGTGCCCTGTAGTAGCTGAAAAGATTTGATATCTCCTATTGCTCGTTCTACATGGATTCGTGCATTTGCAATACGCCTTGTCCTTGTAACTGCTCTACTGCTCAGCTGTCTGCCATTTGCAAAAGGTGGAATTGCAAGAGTTGCACCCTTTAAAGCCAAGAGATCACTTATGGTGAATCCACGGTCAGCCATAACCTCATCGCCAAACTCCAACATTTCCAAGAACCCAGATGCTTGTGTAATCCTGCGGTCTGAAACTGCCCCTGACCACAACTTTGACAAGAAACAGAATGAACCACTTGGTGTTATACCTACCAGAAGTTTTAATGTATTATTATGCTTATAACTTGACCAAGTGATTCTCTGGGCAGAAGGTAATGAGGGTTTTTGAACAAAAAATTCAGTACAATCTATAACTACTCTGGTTTTAGGGAAATACTTAAAAGATTTTGGCATATTTTCCTTTATTTGTTCTTTAGTGGGCCACTTGATAAGAAAATCCAGTTCCTTCCGCAAAAACACAATCCATGTGGTAAAGATCCTGGAAACAGTTGAAGAACTTATACACAACATATCTGCTAAAACATCTGTGTCCAATCCCTTCCTCAGTCGTACAAGGCTCATCAGGTACTCTTCCCAAAGTTTTAACTCCCTTAATGCTCCCCTTTTCTGTTAAAAAAAAATCCAAGAAAAGACTTTATACATCAATTGTCCAATAATGAGATTTGTTAATTTTGTATTGTTTATTACTTATTTTTGTTGATTTTCATCATTTTTCTGGCTTATGAGATTTAACATGTTAAAGCCAGGGGCAAAATATCTAATAAACATATGGAATATGGCATTCTAAATAATATTATTAAAAGCCCAACTGACATGTTTAAGATTACATGTACTATTTTCTGGAACTATTTCACACGGAATGTTAATTTAATCATAACATATGAGATGAATTTTTGTTTGTTTCCACAGAAAATTTCTGTAAATGCATATAATATGGCTATTTTTCATAATTTTAATCTTTGCTTTTATCTGCCTTTCTAATTTAAAACAACCAGTTGACATGGTCCTTAGTCTTATATGTAATAATAGTAGGGTATGTTTACACGAGTTCTGCTCATGACTTGGCATAAAGATACACGTGATATTTTTTCAAATAAATTGTAATGTTCAGTAAACCCTGAAAACTGTTACTTTTCATCATTGGTAATTTATTTTAAAAAGTTATATAATGAATACCATTGTAAAAAATATTCAGTTGATTTGATCACAATTTCATGGTACCATCAGTAAGAACAAAAATCAGTTTTTACAAAATCATTATGCCAAGTCGCTAGGGGGCGCTGTTCCAACAGTGTATCCACTAATAAAACCAGTGGACGTTGTAAACAATGCTTGATATATAAAACTTTGATGCAAAACAAAAAATATTTATTGTTACATTTTTCATGTTTTTACAGGTTATAATGAAAACCTTGTAGGGGGATGTGAATCAATAAAGAGACACATTTTTGAGAAATGACCATGTGTTGATTTTTCATATAAAGTATTAACACTGGCCATTGCTTGAATAAGTGCTCAAAATCCATCAAAAAGAACAGATCTGTCCGAGGAAATCTTTCTATTGATGTCGAGGATTTGAATAAAATATAGGTAAGGTTTAAACTAAAGTGAATTATGTTATGAGACAGATAACTCACTTGTCCACTGACATCATTCTCTGTATCGTCGAAGCTGTCATCAACCCTAGATGACCCATACCAATACTTCATCCTAGAAGCCTTCAACTCTACATGACTAAAAACAAGTTTCAAGACATCCAGTGTCATTCCTGTAAATTTACAACAATGAGGCTGTAAAAAATGATAATGTGTTAATGCAACAATTTCAATTGATCTTAATTTTACATCTAAATTTGATTATAGTTAATCCTTTTTTTTTTTAAATCTCTAAAAAATATTCGAAAAGTCTACATATATTAAATAGACCAATCTTTTTAAATTAAGAATAATACACCATGCTTTCATTCCAATCTTATATTTATAATACGGAGACCTTTTAAATACCTGTATAGGCTTTAGGCTTCTTTTCTACATCTAAAACAAATAACTGTCTTCTCATGGTCTTCAAGTTGACATTTGTACTGCTGTCAGAATAAGTTGGATGGTAAGTCTGAGATCCTGAATCTGCAATTTCAGTTCAAATATAAATACACATATAAATAACACTTCTTTCCTCTATCCAACCCTATATTTAAATTTTGAAAGGAATTTATTTGTTTTTTTCATGTTCTTGTCCAAAACCAATGAACCAAGAAAATGAGGTCATGGTCAGATGAACGCTGCCAATTGAAACATTGATTATTGGATTAAAAATAATTTTTCCAAATTTTATGCCCCCGCTGTAGCATATGGGGGCATTAAGTTTTACCCTTGTCCGTCAGTTTGTCCCCAAGTTGGTTTCCGTTAGAGCTCTAACTTTAGTTTGCCTCAACCAAACATTATGAAATTTATACAAAATGCTTTTTACCACAAAACAAAGATCAAGTTTGAATTTTGGTGGTGTCACTTAAACTATTCTAGAGTTATGCCCCTTTACTAATGGAAAATTACATTCTGCAAATAGATCAAAGTAAAAAATCTCAAAATAACAATATAAAGTGATTGTTATTTTACTAGTTAAGTAAAAAACTAAAAAATCTCAAAATAAAACATTTGTTTCAAAGTACATTTTTGTACATTGTGGCTATACAAATTCACTGCAACAAGCATTCTGTGAGTATTGCATGGCAATACATAGTCCCCTACATCTCGTTCAGGTGATGCCGACAGTCCTAGCTCAACAAAAATAAACCCCAAAAAAAGACGGCATTCTGACACTGAAGATACGCTAACAGGAGAATCGGATACTGCTTCCCCTCCTCACAATTTTGCTGGTTTTAGGTCTTCAAGCGAAAGGGAGTCAGAGCCTCAGTCTGATAGTCCATCAAGCTTTCATGTCGATCCGGCCCCACGTCGATCCGGCCCAAGTCGATCCGCCCCACGTCGATCCGGCCCAACGTCGATCCGGCCCATATTTAAAGTCGATCCGGCCCAATAAAAAAATAAATTTATAAGGAATAAAAATAAAGATATATATTAATTGTAATTCATAAATGTTTATGAATTTTATTATTATAATGTAAAAGGTGTACGGTAAAAAAAAATGGCCTTTGACAAATATTTTCTTTAGGTGAGTATAAAACAACTATGTTGATTATGTTTTCATTAGATCTACAAGTTTTCAAGATTATTGGGTATAATTATAATAAAAACGTATATAACAGAATTTGGTACAATCAACAGACATCAAAATTAATCAGCAGTAATTAGCATTTTCTTTCAATTGACTGTGACAGAGACATATAATACAATTATTATATATATTCTTATATAATAATATGTATTATATGTCTCTGATATTGTCAACTTAAAAAAAATATATTGGCTATATTCGATATTACAAAAAAAAAAAAAAAATGTGTTCTAGAAGCCTCTGATGTAACCTGAAAAAAAATACAATTAATTATTATAACCCATAACACCAAACAAAAGATCAAACTATAAAGACCTTGTTGATTACGTAACTTTAATCAATCAGGATTTGATTGAATTAAGTGATTACGAGTGGCATTACCTTAGTTCACAATCATCAGACAATTTTTGAATAAACAAACCAATTATAGACTAATGATTTGACTAAACAAGTCATTATGATGAGTTAAATTTTATAGGTTCCATTGGTCTGTAAATATTTATTTAGCTATTCTGTGTGTGAATTAAATAAAATAAAAATCGCCATGACATTCAAAGTTATCATGGAAAATAACTTCATATTAATATGTTGAAGCTGCTATACAAACAGACACAATCACACTCATTTTCGTATGGATTTAAAATAATTCTTCGACCGGTACTTCAATACCTCACGTACCTGTTGTCATCCATCATCGATACTTTTTAAAAATTCCATTTATACTGTTAAAATTTGTCACAAAATCCTCCAAAGTCAATATAGTTTATTCATATTTTATTATGGGGCCGGATCGACGTAGGGACGGATCGACGTGGGCCGGATCGACTTGGGACGGATCGACTTTGGGCCGGATCGACTTGGGGCCGGATCGGTTTGGGGACGGAACGACCGGATACCTCCATCAAGTGGCAATCGAACCAGCAGTGAAAGTCCGTTTGATCTGCGTCAATGTACAAGTTCCTGGACAGATGATAAGGAGCTAAATCGACTAAATGTTGAGTCCGTTTTGGAAAGTACAGCAGATGACGTGTTTGAAATAGGCTTCAGAGATTTTCTGAAAGGGGATAAACAAAACGTTAACAACTTAATGAAGAAACACTATCCTCCTGGTGAAAGTGACGATTTGCTTTTGAAAGCCGAAAAAGAATGCTTTGAATTTGCACTTAAAAACATAATTCCGGTTAATTGTGAATATATTGAAGATGTGGATGCTGCAGAGCTATTTAGGTTTAACAGAGAATTTGGAAAAAAATCCTTTGCAGAATTCACAGCAGAACCAAAATACAGTGGCTGGTTGCATTCTCATTGTGACTATTCTGAAGAGTTAGGCAAGAACTTAGAAAGTGAGGATGATATCTTTAAAACAAAGCAATCCACTTGTCAGAAGTAAGTAAAAAAATGTCACAAAAACAATAAATTTGCCCTCAGTATGCTCAGTATACATCAGCCATTTTTTCAGCAGGGATCAACAATAAAGCTTATCTGATTGAATAGAAAATAAAGGATATGGGGTAATCCATCCATGAATTCAGGTCTGTTCGTTCACCCTCATTCACAATCGCCCTAGTACGTACCTTTTCACCCTAATACCTGTTCGACCTGGGTCCATTCACTCTTAAATACATGTACCTGTTCGCCATGTTTGCCCTGGGTCCATTCGCCCTGATTTTTATTTTATATTTTTGTCTTGTTGTTTAATGTATATTATTTGAATCAAGTATGTTAAAGTTTGTTTAAAATTTAGCCAAATATTTATCATGTTTATGTTGTACATGTTGTATTGCTGCTATCTGGCAGATAATTATTTTTCTTTGATTTGCACTGAAGGGTACATTGTCCCATGTGTACCGGAATACAAAATATTTAATATAAAACAACTACAGATGAAGTTGTCTGTATGTATTTATTTTTATTGATACCTTTCACTAAACAATTATCATGATTATTAACAGTTATAACAATATCATTTGCATCACACACTAGTTACAAATGTATGTCTTACATGTCCTAACACTGTTACATGTATTTTAAAGAGCACTGAATTGAAATGTTTTATAAAATATTCTATAAAAAAATACTAAAAAGACCCAGTCACACAGCTATTCACTCTACATGACATTTCTACACCATGATTTACTAGATAAAATCAAACTTGATATCAAAGAAGCAAAGCTGCAAACAAATTTCCTTTTCATAGATATAGGAAGATGTGGTATGAGTGCCAATGAGACAACTTTCATGTCTAAGTCTAACTATTCCTACATCATTGTTTTCACTCATTCCCAGCTGACTAATTAATTTATGAAGGAATGAATGAAAAATCATTTAATTTAAACATGTTCAATAAAAAAATGTAACAATGAAGGCAATTAATGCTCCAAAACAAACCATTTATTTTTTGATATTTCCATGGCATGTCTCTTTTACATTGTTTTAAGTATTTGGTGAAATATATATATTTTCTTTAATGTTTTCCATATACATGTACAAATGATATAGATATCTGAATAACATGAATAAGCTTAATACTTGGTCATTAATCATGTTAATATTTAATTTTTTTTTTTTATAAAAGTAGGGTGGACGGACCCAGGGCGAAAACAGACCCGATACTTCTATCCATGACACAAAATCATTATACATACATGTATGCATGCACAGCAAAAACACAAAAAACAAAGGAACAGCTCTTTTATTGCTGTTTTTCATCTCAAAGTCACAGTTAGGCATCAACACTGAGCAAAAAAAAAAAAAATATCCAACATTTGTGCATGAACAAATTAATGAATATGAAGTACAATGTACACTTGCATGACTTGTCTGAATGAACTAGTAAAATAAAACCTGACCATTGTTATGCAAGTGCATCAAATATTTGTGATTTTTCGGTAACATATGGGTAAATGAATTGTTAAGTCATGTCAGTCCTTGTATACACATTTTTGATTTTAAAGGGAAACTCCTCAAAAAAATGAAAAATTGATGTTTTGTTCTTTAAGCATAAAAAACCACATGTTCATAAATAAAAAAGTTTTATTCTCTATGTAAAGAGATCAAAATCTATATTTGATATTAATTATCAGTTCTCGCATATCACCACCTTGTCGGCATGTCCGATATAAAAAGTCACGTGATATCTGAAAACCACATAGAACAAAGGGAATCGGGGAATTTAACAACTGTGCGTTAAAAACTCCCATCATCAATCAGGTATTACTGTAGACGTCATACAGTGTTAAAATGTCTTGTCAAGCTTAGGGTTGTTCTGTCAAACAAGGTTATGACAAAAGTCTACATAGTTTTCCCGATCCCACAAAAAAGAAAAGAAAGAATTGTATTAGACATGGTTGTGCAACCTTAAACTTACAGCAAATTGTTTCATCTATAGCAAGCACAAGTTGGTGTGTGAAGACCATTTTGAACAATCTTCTTTTGAGGGAGATTTGTTGGTAATTATACTCTTTTAGTTTTAATAACAAAATAACCTAGCAGTTCTGATAGCTATTGTTATCAAATCCTTATATGATAACTTCGGATCTCTTTATTTAAAAAAAATATAGATTTGATGAGGAAGAAAAAGTTTCAATTATCAGTCAGGGGTACTACTTAAACAAGTGATTTCAGAATCACTCCCTCGAGTGATTTTGGCTGTGAAATATTAAAAATTTTCTCACAGACTTTTTAAAATCACTGAAACAAGTAATTTTAGAAGTTAAAATGTAATCACTTTAATAAGTGTTTATAACATTTTCTTGATATTTTTCCCACAAGCTTGTTTTTTTTATTGGTAAAAAGACAACAATTCCATTGAAAAAACAACTATGTATATGCAGAAATTGTCTTTTGCTTGATAAGACTGACACTTTTACAGTTTTTTTAAAATATGCAAAAACTGGAATAGTTTGTAGATCAGGTCATAACCTTGAAGTAGATCATTCTAACTCTAAAGAAAACCAATCAGGTTACCTAATATTGTTGATCTTTGTCTGATAGTAAGAGTAGTTAATGAATTTTTGATTACAGAAAAATTCCCAAGGGTACTTTTAAAAGCTTTAGCGCACTAACTTACTGCCCAAGCGCACTGGTGAAATTAATATACAAAGAAAAAGGGATAATTGATTTATGTAGGAAAATTATAGAAAAGATTGTGAAAATATGGAAAATCAATGAAATTAGCATTTGAAGATCAAAGAAAACACTAAAATCACTTAAATAGGTGATAACTGAATTTATCAAATCACTGAAATAAGTGATGATGAAATCACTTGTTTAAGTAGCACCCCTGACTGATTATAAGAGAGAGAAATGCAGTGTTCTTGTAACAATCACCGATATACAAAAGATTCATTATTATGCCTCTTTTATATAAAGTGCATTGATTTATATAAAGAATAGTTCCGTAATTAGACAAGATAATTTTTCAAATTAATAAAGTTATACTATCAGTGACGGATCCAGAAATTTTCATAAGTGGGGCCCACTGACTGCAAAAGAGGGGGCCCGCTCCAGTCATGTTTCAGTGATTCTCTATATAGTTAACCAAATTTTTCCTAGAAAAGGGGGGGCCTGGGCCTCGTCTAAATCCGCCTCTGACTATTATAAATAACATTTTTTTAATTATGATACTTAACGCTATTGACAAGGAGCAATGTTAGAAAGAGGTTTTAGCTGGGACATAATTTGTTGATGTAGTATAATATTCCCAGGTTATAGATATGTAAATATCGGACATCTCAGTTTTTTATTAAAAGTGTTTTTTTTTTTAACTAATCTTAAAATTATATCAAATTGATACGGGATCAATTCGGAACTGTCACTTATAAAGACACTTTACAGTTAAATGTGTGACATTATCTGGTATGTTCGGTGAAAAATGTATAGGTTTTTTTTTCTTTTTAAATTTTATTTACGTTATCTTACATGTCTTATTATATATATATTATTTAGCTTCCTCTGGAATTGATAATAGGTATGTCAGAATTATTGATAGATGTAATGTCAGAGCGACAAATTCAGTAAGGTATTCCAAAGACGTATATTAGATCATCCTTAGGTATTCCAGTGACATCCTGTCGACTAAAAATTCGTAATACACAATTATATAATACAGGTTCATGCATGGCCTCTTTATTGAGGTACCCGGTATGCACAGGTAACATTTATTGAACCACATATTTGTGTCTGATAATAAGTTTTAAAAAATTTAAAAACATGATCTTTGAAAATTTTTGAGAAATAGATACTGTTTTGTCATGATTCTGGACCCTTTTTTGGAAAACAAAAATTTCTTCACGCAAATACAAGCTTTTCTCGATTGGCAAACATCTAGAGATATAAAGTAATGCAGCACTTATAGTCACTATCAATATTAATTTATTGAAGATAAGAGAATCCCTTCTATGTCTAATGTCCCTATCTTTATACATGTGAGATATTTTTAGTTATACAAAATCACACATCGTGTTCCTAATTGGTATTCACGTGCACTAACTTGATGTGTTAAGTTTCTGCATACTAAGCATGGTTAAAAATAATTAAGTATTCCATTTGTTATATTGTAGTGTCACTGTGTTTCTTTGCTAAATTTATTTAGTTTGTTTAATGATTGTGTAAACTGTATAAAAACTTCATACCTGTTTAATTATTGCCTATAGGCGTTTGATTATTGTTACATGTAAGATATACATATACATGTATATATATAGAGAACCTTTCATACATCTCAAAGTAAAAGATGTGTGTCTGAGTCAGAACCCTGTAATACTAGCACGAGTATAGCATGTAAAAATTCCTACTCAATATGGTTGTATTGGAATACAGATTGACAACTCATGGTCCAACAATCAGGTAATATTTGCCACATGACACTCATATTTCTTTCTACCATCATCATTTTTGTCGAGCCTTCGACTTTTGTCGAAAAAGCGAGACATAGCGATCCTACATTCCGTCGGCGTCGTCGTCGTCGGCGGCGTCCACAAATATTCACTCTGTGGTTAAAGTTTTTGAAATTTTAATAACTTTCTTAAACTATCCTGGATTTCTACCAAACTTTGACAGAAGCTTGTTTATGATCATAAGATAATATTCAAAAGTAAATTTTGTAAAAAAAAAATTCCATTTTTTCCGTATTTTACTTATAAATGGACTTAGTTTTTCTGCCAAGAAACATTACATTCACTCTGTGGTTAAAGTTTTTGAAATTTTAATAACTTTCTTAAACTATCCTGGATTTCTACCAAACTTGGAAAGAAGCTTGTTTATGATCATAAGATAGTATCCAGAAGTAAATTTTGTAAAAAAAAAAATCCATTTTTTCCGTATTTTACTTATAAATGGACTTAGTTTTTCTGCCAAGAAACATTACATTCACTCTGTGGTTGAAGTTTTTGAAATTTTAATAACTTTCTTAAACTATCCTGGATTTCTACCAAACATGGAAAGAAGCTTGTTTATGATCATAAGATAGTATCCAGAAGTAAATTTTGTAAAAAAAAAAATCCATTTTTTCCGTATTTTACTTATAAATGGACTTAGTTTTTCTGCCAGTTAACATTACATTCACTCAGTGGTTAAAGTTTTTAAAATTTTAACAACTTTCTTAAACTATCCTGGATTTGTACCAAACTTGGACAGAAGCTTGTTTATGATTAAAAGCTAGTATCTAGAAGGAAATTTTGTTAAAATTTTGTTTGATTTTTTCCGTATTTTACTTATAAATGGACTTTGTTTTTCTTCCAGTTAACATTACATACAGTCTGCAGTTTAAGTTTTTAAAACATTTATTAGATTCATAAACTATCCTGGATTTTTACCAAACTTGGACAGAAGCTACTAACAATCAAAAGATAGTATAGAGAGGAATATTTTTATTTATTTTTTTCCTCATTTTTGTTGAGCCTGCGATTAACAGCAAAAGTAGGCGAGACACTGGGTTCCGCGGAACCCTTACAAATTTTATTCATTAAATATTGATGAAAACATCGATGGTTAATACCCAAACAAAATGGGAGTAATTTACCTTCAGATCTTCTCCGTGGTATACACTTGTGAAATATATAGACGAAATTTGGTATTGAAGTGAATCTATACATCTCACAAACACAATTTTTGAATTACGATTTCGAGTGAACACCCACCAAACCAAAACGAACGTATGGCAAGATATAACCATGCAGGCATTTAGTTTTCGTCAGACACAAGATAAATAATCACACTCATAACAATGTATATACATTGTATGCATGCAGTTTCAAAAATCAAAAACAAGCGGTCGATGTCTATAGATCATTGTTAAGTCCGTTTACTAACTGTTCAGAGTCGGACATGATTATTGTCAAAATTTATACATAATATTTAAATTTGAAACCTGTTAACATACTATGGTAACATACGCTTTACAGCTTTACGTAATTAATCTGATATTAAAACTGAAAGTAGGAAGTGCATTTTTCACGGGTCTCACTAATTAGCGACAAGAAGAATAATTTAGCGACAAGAAAATAAATTTAGCGTTAAGATATCTAAATAATGATTATTTGAAACAAATAGATATAGAAACATGCATTAAAATGTGTGTGGTTTTATTTTAAATATACGAGAATTTTCATTATTTCATGATACTGAGCGAAGAAAATAATGTTCTAGAAAGAGTTTTTCAAGGATAATATGTTCAAATAGATATATTTACAGTTTACTGTATAAATGAATAAATCGATAATACATAGAGTCGGCATGGTTGATATATCAAAGGTTCAAACCAAATTATAAGATAATCTAATCTTTATTTATTCCACTAAAAAGGTCCATATATACATGATATATATAAAAATATATATAAAGGATGGGACATGGGATTGTTACAAATGTTCAGATTGATACATACATTAAAATAATGTGATAAAATAATTTTTTCTAAAAATTCATTAAAAGACTATATTGTACATATTGGTACTAAATCTTACAAACATGATTGAAACTTTATAAAACAGCAAATAATCAACTGTAATTAATTGACTTATTCCAAATTTTTTTTAATAGTATTTAAACTTTTTTGTCGCTAAATTTGTCTTCTTGTCGCTAATTTTTTCTTCTTGTCGCTAATTTATTTCTTCTTGCCGCTTCTTGACGCTTCTTGTCGCTAAAATTCTTCTTGTCGCTAATTAGTGAGACCATCCTTCACCTCCATGATGCATTCAGGCATCACACAGCTGTTACCAGGTGATGCTTTCAGGCATCATACGGCGTCTACCAGGTGATGCCTTGAGGCATCATACGCCTTGAATGGATTTTAAGCAATAGGTCAACTATATTTGATGCATGGAATGATTTTAAGGTGTCTGTCTGGCAGGGTTCAAATGACCTTGACTTCATTTTCATGGTTCATTGGTCAGTATAGAATTTCCATGGTTTGGTCTGTTTCTTTTATACTATAAGCAATAGGTCATCTATATTCTGTGTATGTAGGGATTGTATTAAACATGTTAAAGGTGTACATGTATTTCTGGCTTGGCTTATCTGACCTTGACCTCATTTTCTTGGATCATAAATGTGAATGTGATACTTGTAGTAAAACTTTATATGTAGGACTATCAACATAAAATCAATGGTCAGTATAGTAGGCGAGACATTTCAGCGTGTGCACTCTTGTTACCAAATATTTTAGTTTTTTGCAGAAGCTACATGTATGACATGTAAATGTACAAAATTCAAATGTATGATAAATCTATAGACAGAAGCTTAACTGCTTTTAACAGCAATTTGTTTTTTTAACAAAGTAAGACCTACAACTAAGTCAAATACACAAAAGATTGTCAATCGAATTGACCCCTTATAATAACATGAATAAAGAGTTCCCTGTATATATATATATTGCCCTTATAGATTATTTTTACGATTTTTTTGGTTTTTTTGATGAGATTTGTATTATACTTTTATATTGTGACATTTTATTGTATTTTACAGAATATTTGTCCGACTGAAGATGTTTTCTGATCAGCTTCTGATTATGATGAACAACAAAAGGAAAAAAATGAATTTAACAGAGCAAATGTTCCAGGAGCTATTCTTATCATTTGTGAGGATTTTTGAATTAATAATAATGTAAGTGGATTTTTGGCCTTAAAAATATATGTCTGTTTCCTTCCTCCTTAACCTAAAAGATTTTATTGCCTTTCCAAAAAAATATTCAAGAAGAGTTCTGTGTCATTTGAGTAGGCTACCATGCATTCCTGCTGAATCATTCAGTCAAGTTTGTAATTAACCAAAATCAAGTGAAATGCTTGTCAGAGCATCGGAAATTACAATTGTTATATCATGCATGCATGAATTTTCAGATTTTTTGCATAAATTGAGGTCAGACGGCACTTGTAGAAAACATTTAATTTTTGAGTCTCGCCTGCTATCATGGCTATGAAAGTTGTAGAATGTGAGACAAACATGACAAAGGGATTACAATCCGGTGACTGTGTAAACTATTTGTATAAAGCTTAATATTACAGGGGTAGAAGACTTGAAAGCTTTATACATTCTACCTTGTATACAGATGTGTTATGTTAAGAATGTTCTGTCTGTCATATATATCCATTGTTCTTGACCTCATTTTCATGGTTCAATGTGAAGGCCTTCTTAAAATTTTTTATAGTTTTTGTCGTGAATTCCTCACTTTTTTTGTTTCCACACTCTTAGTAGAGGGGCATTATGTTTTTCGGCATTATGTTTTTCGGTCAGTGCATCCATTCGTTCGTCCGCCTGTCTGTTTGTCCGTCTGACCTGCTTCAGGTTCAACTTTTTGGTCAAGGTAGTTTTGTCGAGCCTGCGACTTTTGTTGCAGAAAGCTCGACATAGGGATAGTGATCCGGCGGCGGCGGCGGTGTTAGCTAACTTCTTAAAAGCTTTATATTTTAGAAGGTGGAAGATCTGGATGCTTAATACTTTGTATATGGATGCCTCATGTTACGAAGTTTCCGTCAGTCACATGTTCAAAGTCCTTGACCTTATTTTCATGGTTCAGTGACTACTTGAAAAAAAAGTTAAGATTTTTTGTAATGTTAAATTCTCTCTTATTGTAAGTAAAAGGATAACTATATTTGGTATGTGCGTACCTTGCAAGGTCCTCATGCCCGTCAGACAGTTTTCACTTGACCTCGACCTCATTTCATGGATCAGTGAACAAGGTTAAGTTTTGGTGGTCATGTTCATATCTCAGATACTATAAGCAATAGGTCTAGTATATTCTGTGTATGGAAGGACTGTAAGGTGTACATGTCCAACTGGCAGGTGTCATCTGACCTTGACCTCATTTTCATGGTTCAGTGGTTATAGTTAAGTTTTTGTGTTTTGGTCTGTTTTTCTTATACTGTATGCAATAGGTCTACTATATTTGGTGTATGGAATGATTGTAAGGTGTACATGTCTAGCTGGCAGGTGTCATCTGACCTTGACCTCATTTTCATGGTTCATTGGTCAAAGTTAAGTTTTTGAGTTTTGGTCTTTTTTTCTAATACTATATGCAATAGTTCAACTATATTTGCTGTATGGAAATATTTTATGATTTATATGTCAGTCATGCAGGTTTTATTGAACCTTGACCTCATTTTCAAGGTTCATTGCACAGTGTTAAGTTTTTATACGACCGCAAAAAATCCGAATACACATTGGTTTTCGCACTCTAACTTTAGTTTAAGTGAATGGATCTTTTTGAAATTTGACCATAAGGTTAAATACCACAAAAGGCAGGTTGGGATTGATTTTGGGGGTTATGGTACCAACAGTTAAGGAATTAGGGGCCAAAAAGGGGCCAAAAATAAGCATTTTCCAGACAATAACTGTGGAACGGTGTATTGATCTCTCTGAAATTATACTACAAGTTTCCATACCACAAAGGGATGGTTAGGATTTGCTTTGGGGGGTTATGGCTCAAACCGTTTAGGAATTAGGGGCAAAAAAGGGGGAAAAACAGGGTTGTCCTGGTTAATGGACAAATACTTTAGTACAAAACATAATTTAAAGCAGTGTAAGGGAGATAAATCAAATACATCATTGAAATTATCTCCCTTACACTGCTTTTAAATTATGTATAAAGTAATGGTTAATGAACAATTAAGATAATTTAAAACAGTGTAAGGGAGGTAATCCAAATACGTTTTGGTTACTTCCCTTACACTGCTTTTAAATTATGTTTAAAGAAATGCATATTTATAAAGGAAGACCAGTAAAAATATCTGCAAATGTTGCATCTTTTTTTTTTACAAAAAAATCCATATGAAAGATTTGACACTATATTTTTAATTCTATTATAAAATAGATTAAGTTAGCACTATGGTAAATTTAAATGGGTAATTATGGTTGCCAACTCCATTGGAAATTTGAATTGAGATTATGACCATATCTTGAGGGAAAGAATTTTTTGGGGGAAAAAAGGGGGGGGGGGGATAAAAAGAAATTGTGGGGGGTCAATTTTTTCTCATTTCAGATTTCAGATATTAAAAAGAATTATTCTTCAAAAATTATTTTTTTTTCAAATTTCAAATATTGAAAAATTTCAAGAAGTCTTTAATTGCACAGTATGGCGCATTAGATTTGTAAAATCTTTGATCATATTTATTTATTTGTTATGCTGAATCTAACAGTGTATTTAGATTTTTAATTTTGGGTCCAGTTTTCAAATTGGTCTACATTAAGGTCCAAAGGGTCCAAAATTAAACTTTGTTTGATTTTAGCAAAAATTGAATATATGAGGTTCTTTGATATGCTGAATCTAAACATGTATTTAGATTTTTGATTTTTGGCCCAGTTTTCAAGTTGGTCCAAATTGGGGTCCAAAATTAAACTTTTGTTTGATTTCAACAAAAATTGAATATATGGGGTTCTTTGATATGCTGAATCTAACCATGTATTTAGATTTTCTATTTGTAGGCCCCGCTTTCAAATTGGTTCATATTGAGGTCAAAAGGGTCCAAAATTAAACTTTGTTTGATTTCATCAAAAATTGAATTATTGGGGTTCTTTGATATGCCAAATCTAACCGTGTTTTAAGATTTATAATTTGAGTCCCGTTTTTTAAATTGGTCTTCATTGAGGTCCAAAGGGTCCAAAATTAAACTTAGTTTGATTTTAACAAAAATTGAATTCTTGGGGTTCTTTGATATGCTAAATCTTAACATGTGTTTAGATTTTTGATTATGGGCCCAGTTTTCAAGTTGGTCCAAGTTGGGGTCCAAAATTAAACTTTTTTTGATTTCAACAAAAATTGAATATATGGGGTTCTTTGATATGCTGAATCTAACCATGAATTTAGATTTTTTATTTGTGGGCCCCGCTATCAAATTGGTTCATATTGAGGTCAAAAGGGTCCAAAATTAAACTTTGTTTGATTTCATCATGGAAGTATTATATTGACAGGAACTCCAACGAAAAATTAGCACATTCCCATCCCACTGATTTCTTTAAGAAAATAAAAGGTTCCGACTCAGTTTGTAAAGTACGTGATAACTCCTTTGTGGGGTATCTGTGATGCCGCCTTCGCCTGTTCTTTAAGCTGAAGCTGGTCTTATCACGTGATTTGGTATCGATTGTCTTATCTACCTACCAATGTAAATAAACACGGAAACCCCCGTGGTTATTTGTGAATCGCCACATGAATAACAACACCTGTTTCCGTTCAATAAATGAAGAACAAAGCTGAAAAGATCGAAAAAATCGGTCCATATTTAACAGAATGACATAAGAAAATTAACTGCATTCGGAAAGAGGGCAAGCTTATTTTTAGTTTTGTTGAGTATGTTTTAATCATTGGAACTTGGAAATCGGGAAATATCCGATTATGAAAATTACATGATTCTGAAGTAGAGTGTTTGCAGAAAATAATGTGATGCACGTATAGTGAGCCGGATGGTGCCTGATAACTCAAATTTTAAGTTAAAGATTGTAAACTGTTATCGAGTGGAACACAAATATTTATGGTTTTCTCTATCGTAAAATATCGTAAAATGTTATTAACTTATTTATCAAATATGTTTTAAAGACTAAAAGAGGTTAATAATTACACGCATGTGATGACCTCTACATAGCAATATCAGGTTACGAGACATGCAGATGAATTGTTACACCTTTTATAATTAATCCGAAGTTGTAAACAACCTTTTCAGATTAAATTTTTGTAGGAAATTCTTTCATTAAATACTTCAGTAAAATATTTGTCAAAGTTAGCAGTAAAACGCGTTAATAATTACTGATAAAAACTTTTCCGTTTACTTTTCATGAGAATTTTATGATTTTCAAGCCTAACATGTATATAACAGTTACGCGTGTTTAGCTAACGGCCCTCTCATGAATAAAAATCTTACTATTTTAAAATTGATTGTAACTTAAACTGAAATGTTTATGGCTTGTGAGTATTTTTACTCTTCAGTTTTTTTTTTTGTTTGTTTTTTTAATCGGTGAAAACAGTCGCGGGAATTTCGTTTCTTTTCTTTTTATTTGTTATTAAGCAGCAAAACCCGTAAAAACTGACATTATATTTGTAATTCACATGGTCGGTAAATGTAATTTCCTTGACAATTAAGTACACATCCGGTTATTTCGGTATGTTCCGTAATTACGATCATTCACGAGGTTCCAAAAATTTGATCGGAACCCATGCATCCATAAGACATGTCGAGTTAATTAACAGATACTTAACGATTTTGCGGCATCGCACTATAAACGTTTGAAGTCCGCTTGTTGGAGTTCCTGTCAATATAATACTTCCATGATTTCATCAAAAATTGAATTATTGGGGTTCTTTGATATTCCAAATCTAACCGTGTATTTAGATTTTTAATTCTAAGTCCCGTTTTTTTAAATTGGTCTACATTAAGGTCCAAAGGGTCCAAAATTAAACTTAGTTTGATTTTAGCAAAAATTGAATTCTTGGGGTTCTTTGATATGCGGAATCTAAACATGTGTTTAGATTTTTGATTATGGGCCCAGTTTTCAAGTTTGTCCAAGTTGGGGTCCAAAATTAAACTTTGTTTGATTTTAACAAAAATTGAATATATGGGGTTCTTTGATATGCTGAATCTAACCATGTATTTTGATTTTGGACATTGGACCATAATAGGTAAATTAAAAAAAATCAAGTTCTTAGACCACATTCTTTCTGTGTCAGAAACCTATGCTGTGTCAAATATTTAATAACAATCCAAATTCAGAGCTGTATCAAGCTTGAATGTTGTGTCCATATTTGCCCCAACTGTTCAGGATTCGACCTCTGCGGTCGTATCAAGCTGCGCCCCAGCGAAGCATTTTATTGTGTTTTGGTTTGTTTTTCTTAAACTATAAGCAATAGGTCAACTATATTTGTTGTATGGAAGAATTGTTAGCTGTACATGCCTGCCTAGCATGGTTCATCTGACCTTGATCTCATTTTCATGGTTCATTGGTCAATGTTTAGTTTACTTGGTTAATGTTAAGTTTATGTGACAGTTGTAATAAAGCTTTATATTTAGGACTATCAACATAATATCAATGATTAGTAAAGAAGGCGAGATATTTCAGCGTGTGCACTCTTACTGATGTAGTTAAAGTCCAATCAACTTGAAAGTTAGTATACATGTTCCCTATGATATGATCTTTCTAATTTTAATGCCAAATTGAGTTTTGAACCCAATTTCACGTTCCACTGAACATAGAAAATGATAGTGCGAGTGGGGCATGTTCTATGGACACATTCTTTTTAATAAAGTTACAGTTTGTACATACCTGTCTACATGTCAGTTTGCAGAGTTTTCAAAAAGTGGAGGTCCGAAGGATTTGACCACCAGAATTTTGCAAAGGACCAACATAATTTTGATATTTTGCAATAGAGATAATAGTGAGGACAAGAGGATTTTCTTCAAGGACCACCAGGGGAAAAAAGATTTCGCTAACTCAGAGTTTGTAGACCATTTTCATGCCTTGCCCACTAGATCATGGTCCAGTGACTGAATTAATAAGTAATTTTGCTGTCCATCAGAGTGTTTTTTTCTGAATTTTTAGCTTATGCCATCACTTGGCGTCCGTTGTCATCCGTCGTCGTAAACTATTTCAAGAATCTTCTCCTCTAAAACTACTGGGCCAAATACCTTCAAACTTTAACTGAATGTTCCTTAACGTATCTAGTTTATAAATTGTATCCGAAGTTTTGATCCATCTACAAACATGGCCGCCATGGCTAATAATAGAACATAGGGGTCAAATGCAATTTTTGGCTTATATCTCAAAAACTAAAGCATTTAGAGCAAATCTGACAGGTATGTTCATTAGGTAAAGATCTATCAGCTCTGAAATTTTCAAACAAACCGAACAACCCATTGTTGTGTTGCTGCTATTAAATTGGTAATTTTAAGGAAATTTTGCAGTTTTTGGTTATTATTTTGAATATTATTATAGATAGAGATCAACTGTAAACAGCAATAATGTTCAGCAAAGTAAGATCTATAAAAAAGTTAATATGACCAAAATTGTCAATTGACCCCTTAAGGAGTTATTGCCCTTTAAAGACAATTTTACACAATTTGTTCATCTTGTTTGCTAACATTTAAAAATCTTCTCCTCTAAAACGACTGGGCCTAATACTTCTAAACTTTAACTGAATGTTCCTTAGGGTATCTAGTTTATAAATTGTATCTGAAGTTTTGATCCACCAACAAACATGGCCGCAATGGCTAAAAATAGAACATAGGGCTCAAATGCAGTTTTTGGCTTATATCTCAAAACTAAAGCATTTAAATCAAATCTGACAAAAATAGTCAATAAGGCAAGATCTATCAGCCCTGAAATTTGAAGACGAACAGAAAAACCCATTGTTGGGTTGCTGCCACTAAATTGGTAATTTTAAGGAAATTTTGCAGTTTTTATACGACCGCAAAAATAAAAAATTTTTTGGTTGTATATTGGTATGACGTTGGCGTCGTCATCCGAAGACACATTGGTTTTCGCACTCTAACTTTAGTTTAAGTGAATAGATCTCCATGAAATTTTACCATAAGGTTCAATACCACAAAAGGAGGGTTGGGATTGATTTTGGGGGTTATGGTACATGTACCAACAGTTAAGGAATAAGGGGCCAAAAAGGGGCCAAAAATAAGCATTTTTGTAACTTCCAGACAATAACTTGTGTGTAAGTGTATGGATCTCTCTGACATTGTACCACAAGGTTCCATATCACATAGGGAAGGCTGTAATTGATTTTGGGGGTAATTGCCTCAAAATTTTAGGAATTAGGGGCCAAAAAAAGGGCAAAAAACAAGCATTTTTCTAGTTTCATGACAATAACTTGTGTGTAAGTGTTTGGATATTTCTGAAATTGTACTACAAGGTTCCATATCACATAGGGAAGGCTGTAATTGATTTTGGGGGTAATTGCCTCAAAATTTTAGGAATTAGGGGCCAAAAAAAGGGCAAAAAACAAGCATTTTTCTAGTTTCATGACAATAACTTGTGTGTAAGTGTTTGGATATTTCTGAAATTGTACTACAAGGTTCCATATCACAAAGGGAAAGCTTTAATTGAGTTTGGGGGTAATTGCCCGAAATGTTTAGGAATTGGTGCCTAAAAGGGGCCAAAAATAAGCATTTTTCTAGTTTCCAGACAATAACTTGTGTTCAAGTGTATGGATCTCTCTGAAATTGTACTACAAGATACCATACCACAAAGGGAAGGCTGGGATTGATTTTGGGGGTGATGAATCATAAGGGGGTTCAAAAAATTCGGGGGGGATTTTTTTTTTTTTTCTTTTTTTTTCTTTTTTTCATTTTTTTTTCTTTTAAAATTTTCCATTTTAGTTGGTTATTTCTGATTTATATTTAAAAGCAAATAATAATGATATGGTAGGAGATACACACCAAACAGGATGTGTAAATTATTATATAATAAGTATTGTGCAATAGCAAGAAATTTTCAATTGCACAGTATTGCACAATAGCAAGAAATCTTCAATTGCACAGTATTGCGCAATAGCAAGAAATCTTCAATTGCACAGTATTGCGTAATAGCAAGAAATATCCAATAGCACAATATTGCGCAATAGCAAGAAATTGTCAATTGTTCAGTATTGCGCAATAGCAAGAAATATTCAATTGCACAGTATTGTGCAAAAGAAGATACTTTGTATAAATTGCTTATTTCTTGATCAATTTCAATGGTGTTTTATTCTTGAATTCTTGGGGTTCTTTAATATGCTGAATCTAACCGTGTATTAAGTTTTTGGATTTTGGGCCCCGTTTTTAAATTGGTCCACATTGAGGTCCAAAGGGTCCAAAATTTAACTTTGTTTGATTTCATCAAAAATTGAATTATTGGGGTTCTTTGATATGCGGAATCTAACCGTGTATTTAGATTCTTCATTTTTGGTTCCGTTTTGAAATTGGTCTACATTAAGGTCCAAAGGGTCCAAAATTAAACTTAGTTTGATTTTAACAAAAATTGAATTTTTAGGGTTCTTTGATCTGCTGAATCTAAACATGTATTTAGATTTTTGATTATGGGCCCAGTTTTCAAGTTGGTCCAAATCGGGGTCCAAAATTAAACTTTGTTTGATTTCAACAAAAATTGAATATATTGGGTTCTTTGATATGCTGAATCTAACCATGTATTTAGATTTTTGATTTTTTGGCCCCGTTATCAACTTTGTCCACATTGAGGTCAAATGGGTCCAAAATTAAACTTTGTTTGATTTCATCAAAAATTGAATTCTTGAGGTTCTTTGATATGCTGAATCTAACCATGTATTTAGATTTTGGATATTGGACCATAATAGGTGAATGTCCAATTTAAAATTTTTAAGTTCTTAGACCACATTCATTCTGTGTCAGAAACCTATGCTGTGTCAAATATTTAATCACAATCCAAATTCAGAGCTGTATCAAGCTTGAATGTTGTGTCCATACTTGCCCCAACTGTTCAGGGTTTGACCTCTGTTGTCGTATCAAGCTGCGCCCTGCGGAGCATTTTATTGGTTATTATCTTGAATATTATTGAAGGTAAAGATAAACTGTAAACAGCAAAAATGTTCAGCAAAGTATGATCTACAAAAAAAGTTTATATGACCAAAATTTTCAATTGACCCCTTAAGGAGTTATTGCCTTTAAAGACAATTTTACACAATTTGTTCATCTTGTTTGCTAACATTTAAAAATCTTCTCCTCTGAAACAACTGGGCCTAATACTAATTAACTTTAACTGAATGTTCCTTAGGGTAACAGGTTTATAAATTGTATCAGAAGTTTTAATCCATTAACAAACATGGCCGCCATGGCTAAAAATAGAACATAGGGGTCAAATTCAGTTTTTATACGACCACAAATAAATTTTGCGGTCGTATATTGGTATGACGTTGGCGTCAAGCTTGAATGTTGTGTCCATACTTGTCCCAACTGTTCAGGGTTCAACCTCTGCGGTCGTATCAAGCTGCCCCCAGTGGAGCATTTTATTGGCTTTTATCTCAAAAACTATAGCACTTAGAGCAAAAGTGACATGGAGTTAAAGTAATGAATAAGTCAAAATCTATATGCTATGAAATTTTCAGACCATTCTGACCACCTATTGTAGGGTTACTGTCTGAAATAGTTTATTTTTATGAAATTTTACTGTTTTTGGTTATAATCTTTAATATTATAATAGATAGAGAGAAAGTGTAAATGGCAAAAATAATCATTGATGAAAGATTTAAGCAAAGAATTAATAACAGGTGAGCGATTCAGGCTCTTGAGAGCCTCTTGTATGCCGACAGTAAAGAAATTTCCATCTATCAATAAAAGTTTTTTTATACGACCGCAAAAAAATTTTGTGGTCGTATATTGGTATAACGTTGGCGTCGTCGTCGTCATCCGAAGACAAATTGGTTTTCGCACTCTAACTTTAGTTTAACATGTTTAAGTAAATGGATCTCTATGAAATTTTACCATAAGGTTCAATACCTCAAAAGGAAGGTTGGGATTGATTTTGGGGGTTATGGTACCAACAGTTAAGGAATTAGGGGCCAAAAAGGGGACGATAAATAAGCATTTTTGTAACTTCCAGACATAACTTGTGTGTTAGAGTATGGATCTCATCTGACATTGTATCACAAGGTTCCATATCACAAAGGGAGTGCTTGGATTGATTTTGGGGGTAATTGCCTCAAAATTTTAGGAATTAAGGGCCAAAAAAGGAGCAAAAAACAAGCATTTTTCCAGTTTCATGACAATAACTTGTGTGTAAGTCTATGGATCTTTCTGAAATTGAACTACTAGGTTCCATATCACAAAGGGAAAGCTGTAATTGAGTTTGGGGGTAATTCCCCGAAACGTTTAGGAATAAGGGGCCAAAAATAAGCATTTTTGTAACTTCCAGACAATAACTTGTGTTCAAGTGTATGGATCTCTCTGAAATTGTACTGCAAGGTTCCATATCACAAAGGTAGTGCTTGGATTGATTTTGGGGGTAATTGCCTCAAAATTGTAGGAATTAGGGGCCAAAAAAGGAGCAAAAAACAAGCAATTTTCTAGTTTCATGACAATAACTTGTGTGTTAGTCTATGGATCTTTCTGAAATTGTACTACAAGGTTCCATATCACAAAGGGAAAGCTGGAATTGAGTTTGGGGGTAATTGCCCAAAACCTTTAGGAATAAGGGGCCAAAAATAAGCATTTTTCTAGTTTCCAGACAATAACTTGTGTTCAAGTGTATGGATCTCTCTGAAATTGTACTACAAGGTACCATACCACAATGGGAAGGCTGGGATTGATTTTGGGGGTAATTGCCTCAAAATTTTAGGAATAAGGGGCCAAAAAGGTGCAAAAAATAAGCATTTTTCTAGTTTCCAGACAATAACTTGTGTGTAAGTGTTTGGATCTTTCTGAAATTGTACTACAAGGTTCCATATCACAAAGGGAAAGCTGGAATTGAGTTTGGGGGTAATTACCCGAAACGTTTAGGAAAAAGGGGCCAAAAATAAGCATTTTTGTAACTTCCAGACATAACTTGTGTGTTAGAGTTTGGATCTCTCTGACATTGTACCACAAGGTTTCATATCACAAAGGGAATGCTTGGATTGATTTTGGGGGTGATTGTCTCAAAATTTTAGGAATTAGGGGCCAAAAAAGGAGCAAAAAACAAGCATTTTTCTAGTTTCATGACAATAACTTGTGTGTTAGTCTATGGATCTTTCTGAAATTGTACTACAAGGTTCCATATCACAAAGGGAAAGCTGGAATTGAGTTTGGGGGTAATTGCCCAAAACGTTTAGGAATAAGGGGCCAAAAATAAGCATTTTTCTAGTTTCCAGACAATAACTTGTGTTCAAGTGTATGGATCTCTCTGAAATTGTACTACAAGGTACCATACCACAATGGGAAGGCTTGGGATTGATTTTGGGGGTAATTGCCTCAAAATTTTAGGAATTAGGGGCCAAAAAAGGGGCAAAAAAATAAGCATTTTTCTAGTTTCCAGACAATAACTTGTGTGTAAGTGTATCAATGCATCTTTCTGAAATTGTACTACAAGGTTCCATATCACAAAGGGAAAGCTGGAATTGAGTTTGGGGTAATTACCCGAAACGTTTAGGAAAAAGGGGCCAAAAAATAAGCATTTTTGTAACTTCCAGACATAACTTGTGTGTTAGAGTTTGGATCTCTCTGACATTGTACCACAAGGTTCCATATCACAAAGGGAATGCTTGGATTGATTTTGGGGGTGATTGCCTCAAAATTTAAGGAATTAGGGGCCAAAAAAGGAGCAAAAAACAAGTATTTTTCTAGTTTCATGACAATAACTTGTGTGTTAGTCTATGGATCTTTCTGAAATTGTACTACAAGGTTCCATATCACAAAGGAAAAGCTGGAATTGAGTTTGGGGGTAATTGCCTGAAACATTTAGGAATAAGTGGCCAAAAAGGGGCCAAAAATAAGCATTTTTCTAGTTTCCAGACAATAACTTGTGTTCAAGTGTATGGATCTCTCTGAAATTGTACAACAAGGTACCATACCACAAAGGGAAGGCTGGGAATGATTTTGGGGGTAATTGCCTCAAAATTTTAAGAATTAGGGGCCAAAAAGGAGCAAAAAAACAAGCATTTTTCTAGTTTCAGGACAATAACTTGTGTGTAAGTCAATGGATCTTTCTGAAATTGTACTACAAGGTTCCATATCACAAAGGAAAAGCTGGAATTGAGTTTCGGGGTAATTGCCTGAAACGTTTAGGAATAAGGGGCCAAAAATAAGCATTTTTGTAACTTCCAGACATAACTTGTGTGTTAGAGTATGGATCTCATCTGACATTGTATCACAAGGTTCCATATCACAAAGGAAGTGCTTGGATTGATTTTGGGGATAATTGCCCTCAAAATTTTAGGAATTAGGGGCCAAAAAAGGAGCAAAAAACAAGCATTTTTCTAGTTTCATGACAATAACCTTGTGTGTTAGTCTATGGATCTCTCTGAAATTGTACTGCAAGGTACATACCACAAAGGAAGGCTGGGATTGATTTTGGGGGTAATTGCCCGAAACGTTTAGGAATAAGGGGCCAAAAATAAGCATTTTTGTAACTTCCAGACATAACTTGTGTGTTAGAGTATGGATCTCATCTGACATTGTATCACAAGGTTCCATATCACAAAGGGGAGTGCTTGGATTGATTTGGGGGGTAATTGCCTCAAAATTTTAGGAATTAGGGGCCAAAAAAGGAGCAAAAAACAAGCATTTTTCCAGTTTCATGACAATAACTTGTGTGTTAGTCTATGGATCTTTCTGAAATTGTACTACAAGGTTCCATATCACAAAGGGAAAGCTGTAATTGAGTTTGTGGGGGTAATTGCCCCGAAACGTTTGAGAATAAGGGGCCAAAAATAAGCATTTTTGTAACTTCCAGACAATAACTTGTGTTCAAGTGTATGGATCTCTCTCAAATTGTACTGCAAGGTTCCATATCACAAAGGGAATGCTTGGATTGATTTTGGGAGTAATTACCTCAAAATTTTAGGAATTAGGGGCCAAAAAGGAGCAAAAAACAAGCATTTTTCCAGTTTCATGACAATAACTTGTGTGTTAGTCTATGGATCTTTCTGAAATTGTACTACAAGGTTCCATATTACAAAGGGAAAGCTGGAATTGAGTTGGGGGTAATTGCCCGAAGCGTTTAGGAATAAGGGGCCAAAAATAAGCATTTTCTAGTTTCCAGACATAACTTGTGTTCAAGTGTATGGATCCCTCTGAAATTGTACTGCAAGGTACCATACCACAAAGGGAAGGCTGGGATTGAGTTTGGGGGTAATTGCCCGAAGCGTTTAGGAATAAGGGGCCAAAAAGGGGCCAAAAATAAGCATTTTTTCTAGTTTCCAGACAATAACTTGTGTTCAAGTGTATGGATCTCTCTGAAATTGTACTACAAGGTACCATACCACAAAGGGAAGGATCGGAATGATTTTGGGGGTAATTGCCTCAAAATTTTAAGAATTAGGGGCCAAAAAGGAGCAAAAAACAAGCATTTTTCTAGTTTCAGGACAATAACTTGTGTGTAAGTCAATGGATCTTTCTGAAATTGTACTACAAGGTTCCATATCACAAAGGAAAGCTGGAATTGAGTTTGGGGGTAATTGCCCGAAACGTTTAGGAATAAGGGGCCAAAAATAAGCATTTTTGTAACTTCCAGACATAACTTGTGTGTTAGAGTATGGATCTCATCTGACATTGTATCACAAGGTTCCATATCACAAAGGGAGTGCTTGGATTGATTTGGGGGGTAATTGCCTCAAAATTTTAGGAATTAGGGGCCAAAAAAGGAGCAAAAAACAAGCATTTTTCTAGTTTCATGACAATAACTTGTGTGTTAGTCTATGGATCTTTCTGAAATTGTACTACAAGGTTCCATATCACAAAGGGAAAGCTGTAATTTAGTTTGGGGGTAATTGCCCGAAATGTTTAGGAATAAGGGGCCAAAAATAAGCATTTTTGTAACTTCCAGACAATAACTTGTGTTCAAGTGTATGGATCTCTCTGAAATTGTACTGCAAGGTTCCATATCACAAAGGGAATGCTTGGATTGATTTTGGGGGTAATTGCCTCAAAATTTTAGGAATTAGGGGCCAAAAAAGGAGCAAAAAATAAGCATTTTTCCAGTTTCATGGCAATAACTTGTGTGTTAGTCTATGGATCTTTCTGAAATTGTACTACAAGGTTCCATATTACAAAGGGAAAGCTGGAATTGAGTTGGGGGTAATTCCCCGAAGCGTTTAGGAATAAGGGGCCAAAAATAAGTATTTTTCTAGTTTCCAGACAATAACTTGTGTTCAAGTGTATGGATCTCTCTGAAATTGTACTGCAAGGTACCATACCACAAAGGGAAGGCTGGGATTGATTTTGGGGGTAATTGCCTCAAAAGTGTAGGAATTAGGGGCCAAAAAAGGAGCAAAAAACAAGCATTTTTCTAGTTTCAGGACAATAACTTGTGTGTTAGTCTATGGATTTTTCTGAAATTGTACTGCAAGGTTCCATATCACAAAGGGAAAGCTGGAATTGAGTTTGGGGGTAATTGCCCGAAACGTTTAGGAATAAGGGGCCAAAAATAAGCATTTTTGTAATTTCCTGACAATAACTTGTGTTCAAGTGTATGGATCTCTCTGAAATTGTACTGCAAGGTTCCATATCACAAAGGGAATGCTTGGATTGATTTTGGGGGTAATTGCCTCAAAATTTTAGGAATGAGGGGCCAAAAAAGGAGCAAAAAACAAGCATTTTTCTAGTTTCATGACAATAACTTGTGTGTTAGTCTATGGATCTTTCTGAAATTGTACTACAAGGTTCCATATCACAAAGGGAAAGCTGGAATTGAGTTTGGGGGTAATTGCCTGAAACGTTTAGGAATAAGGGGCCAAAAATAAGCATTTTTCTAGTTTCAAGACAATAACTTGTGTGTTAGTCTATGGATCTTTCTGAAATTGTACTACAAGGTTCCATATCACAAAGGGAAAGCTGGAATTGAGTTTTGGGGTAATTGCCCGAAACGTTTAGGAATAAGGGGCCAAAAATAAGCATTTTTGTAACTTCCAGACATAACTTGTGTGTTAGAGTATGGATCTCTCTGACATTGTACCACAAGGTTCCATATCACAAAGGGAATGCTTGGATTGATTTGGGTTGTAATTGCCTCAAAATTTTAGGAATTAGAGGCCAAAAAAGGAGCAAAAAACAAGCATTTTTCTAGTTTCATGACAATAACTTGTGTGTTAGTCTATGGATCTTTCTGAAATTGTACTACAAGGTTTCATATCACAAAGGGAAAGCTGGAATTGAGTTTGGGGGTAATTGCCCGAAACGTTTAGGAAAAAGGGGCCAAAAAGGGGCCAAAAATAAGCATTTTTGTTCCTTCCAGACAACAACTTGTGTTCTAGTGTATGGATCTCTCTGAAATTGTACTGCAAGGTTCCATATCACAAAGGGAATGCTTGGATAGATTTTGGGGGTAACTGCCTCAAAATTTTAGGAATGAGGGCCAAAAAAGGAGCAAAAAACAAGCATTTTTCTAGTTTCATGACAATAACTTGTGTGTTAGTCTATGGATCTTTCTGAAATTGTATTATATGGTTCCATATTACAAAGGGAAAGCTGGAATTGAGTTTGGGGGTAATTGCCCGAAGCGTTTAGGAATAAGGGGCCAAAAATAAGCATTTTTCTAGTTTCCAGACAATAACTTGTGTTCAAGTGTATGGATCTCTCTGAAATTGTACTGCAAGGTACCATACCACAAAGGGAAGGCTGGGATTGATTTTGGGGGTAATTGCCCGAAACGTTTAGGAATAAGGGGCCAAAAATAAGCATTTTTGTAACTTCCTGACAATAACTTGTGTATGGATCTCTCTGAAATTGTACTGCAAGGTTCCATATCACAAAGGGAATGCTTGGATTGATTTTGGGGGTAATTGCCTCAAAATTTTAGGAATTAGGGGCCAAAAAAGGAGCAAAAAACAAGCATTTTTCTAGTTTCATGACAATAACTTGTGTGTTAGTCTATGGATCTTTCTGAAATTGTACTACAAGGTTCCATATCACAAAGGGAAAGCTGGAATTGAGTTTGGGGGTAATTGCCCGAAATGTTTAGGAATAAGGGGCCAAAAATAAGCATTTTTTAAGTTTCCAGACAATAACTTGTGTTCAAGTGTATGGATCTCTTTGAAATTGTACTGCAAGGTACCATACCACAAAGGGAAGGCTGGGATTGATTTTGGGGGTAATTGCCTCAAAATTTTAGGAATTAGGGGCCAAAAAGGGGCAAAAAACAAGCATTTTTCTAGTTTCAGGACAATAATTTGTGTGTAAGTGTATGGATCTTTCTGAAATTGTACTACACGGTTCCATAGCACAAAGGGAAAGCTGGGTTTGAGTTTGGGGGTAATTGCCCTAAATGTTTAGGAATTTGGGGCCAAAAAGGGGCCAAAAAACAAGCATTTTTCTAGTTTATATAAAAGCAAATAATAATGATATGGTTTAAATATGTAAATTAAAAAATTTTAAGTTCTTAGACCACATTCATTCTGTGGCAGAAACCTATGCTGTGTCAAATATTTAATCAATCCAAATTCAGTGCTGTATCAAGCTTGAATGTTATGTCCATACCCTTCCCTAGATTTTCCATCAAACATGATGGAATTTTGTGATGGAAAAAATGCCATCACATTCCATCATGTTGATGGAGTATTGGAACAACTTTCCATCAACTTTCCATCAATGCTGGAAAATGGTTGATGGAAAAGGTTTGATGGAATTTGTGTTCATGATGATGGAAAATTGATGGCATAATTTCCATCTGATGGATAATTGATGGTATTTTTGCCATCTGATGGATAATTGATGGTATTTTTGCCATCTGATGGAAAACTGATGGTAATTTTGCTATCAGATGGAAAACCAATTGAATATTTCCATTACATGTAAAATGCATGGAAACTTGAAGGAGAATTGACCATCAGATGGAATTTGATGGATGAGTAAGGAGAATGTCTTTAGAAAATCTTTCCATTTATAGCATTTTCTGTGATTAAATAAAAACAATATTTGTTCTCTGTCGTCTATAGGTAGTCCAGTTACATGTGTGTATCTTTTCGTTCAGTGCTCCATTCAACTCGCTGTCCTTAAAGTTGAGTTTGTTGACGGCAAATTCTGAAAAATAAAAGTAAAAGAATCTAGCATATAAAAGAATAAATTAACATTGTACAGATATAAAGTTAGTTAGTTACATTTGTTGTCAATTCTGAAATTATCAAATGAAAATAACACTTTTTGAAAAGATTTGTATTAATGTGTCACTTGCAGGGTCAATTTCTAAGATTGTCAAATCCTTCTAGAAATTTAATATTCAGAGGTGGATTTAGGAAAGGGGGCTCCCACTTTCTGAGCTTTAGAGCTACATAACTTATTGCATAGAAGTTTTATAAGTCTTACTCCTAATGTTGACTTAATTGCCACCACCACCACCCTGGTTCAGCACCTGATATATAACTGTACAATACATTAAACCTCATGTCAGTACTAAATTATCATCATTATAATAAGTGACTGTCCCTAGAAATAAAGAGGTTGTCCTTTGAAGTTTCTTTTTTGTTTATTATTTGTTTTTCATAATCATTGTACTATAACATATGGGTCTTGTCCATGTTTTATATCATACTTTTGGTGGGTAGTGTTTATACTATACATGTATATATAAAGATATATTATTTTACAATTGTGGATATATAAATGTCATATTGTCAGTCACACCACACGGCACAGATCTCTAATTTTATAGCAAAATTACTTTTTCAGAAGTACTATTTTATAAAACAAATAATGTTTTAAAATGATACAAAATATGACTCATGTCCTACACAATTTTATATGTATATGCATATTTTTTGTGTCATTTGGTCTCTTGTGGAGAGTTGTCTCATTGGCAAGCATACCACATCTTCTTTATTAATACTTTTTATAAATCTATGACCTTCTTTTTTTCTTGACTCTTAAAAGTTAATAAAACACTTTAAATGTCACTACTTTGAACTAAAAGAGCATGCACATATATTCAAAATTGTGGAAATTCTAAATACATTGTACTTACCAAAAGATATAATCCAAAATATGTTTACACCTGAGACGTCCCAAAAATATATATAGGCGGTGCTCCTATCATTGGCGGTAACACTACACAGTTTTGTACATACACATGGCGACACGAAACACAATCGGAAATCCATTTTACGATATCAAATTTTCAAAACGTAGTGGAAAATATCATGCGCCACTTGGGCGCTTACATTTGTCACTCTATGCCCCATTTCTGGTCGAAAAGGGCAATTGGCGCAAGGCGGACGTCCTTCCCAATCACTGTGTTTAATAGCTTATTTAAATGGCTGTCAAGTTCCCATTAAAAAAAATTGACTTGTATTTATTTTAATGTCAGATCCTTAAACTCCCATCAAAATTAGATACTAGTACTTACTACTAGCAAACTTGTTGGCCATTTTTAATTGCTGCTTAGATTGTTAAATTACCAATCAAAATGGTTCCCACCCCACCCCCTCCTCCTCATGTTCACTAATACCCTTAAGCATTTCATTGTCTTAATTCAATAATTGTATTTAGATACACATTGTTTACCATGGCTTAACGATGCTCGCTGTTCAGTTTCAAATATTATAAGGCCTAAAATAAAATATTGTCTGTTTCCCCAATCCCTACCGACCAGTCTTCATGCTAAGCCACAGGCCCAGCAGCCCAGGATTGTAAAATTGTTTTGGGGCCTGTCCAAATCATCTTTACAGGCCAACAGAATCTAACTAAAATTTGCTGAAAATTGAGCTCTGGGCCTGTAGATTCAAAGGTTTATCGTGAAGACTGACCGACCCTGCAAAAACAGGTCCGACTCATAAAATTTTATTGTCAAAACTAAGTCAAATTTTATTTTATTCAGTTCCAATTTTCAGGCTTGCCAGATCGACAGATATTGTTCCAGCTTTCTGGCTTGGCGGTGTCGGGATTGGGGAAACAAACAATATATTAATTTAGGCTTAATAAAAATCAGATATAAAGGATACATGTTAAGTTCTTCTCCTTTCTGTAATTAAATTTGCTGTCTCTGTACTTCCAACTAGTATTGCTGAGTAAAGGTAACTGGAATCTGCATGCAATCTGTTTACTATCAAAATTGGCAGCTCCATTTTAAAATCATTAAATCCCCTAAAAGTAAAAAAAAAATCCACAAAGAATCAATTGTTCTAGAGTCTAGACGTTTTGAAGCAATAAATTCAATAGAAATATTATTGCATGTTTAAACAGTACATTGGAAGCCATTTGGAATCAAATTAATTACCCTCCACCTTTTTTTATCCCCTGAAGATTAAAAACTGGCGACTTATTATTTTCACCAAATAACCATTCACACAACTCAATATTTTTTTACATGTCTACCAGTTATGCCTCAAGATTATTCATTGTCAAAAACTCATGTTAAAAATAAATATAATTTTCAGTTTATGATTTCAGACTTTCTGATGTTGATTTGCTCAAATAAAAACAATAAAAAAATCATAGT